GATTCCGGGTCCGTCTGCCTTGGTCCAAGTTTTTCTGTGGTTTCCTTGGATCACTTAGGTAAATGCTGGGGCAGTAATATTCCACAGATAATCTTTCATTCTCTTCTGTCTTCATTTCGTCCGTCTCATCTTTCTCACCCGAACCACCACCCACACATTCTTACGATTCCTGAAAGGAGACTGAAGACGGCCTTCCGCCTTACTTTCCGGTGAAGACCGGAGGGACTGCCTGCCCACCAGCATTAGTGGCTGGTGGGACTGAAACACCCAAAAGTTTTTCTTTCTTTCTAGTTTTAGGGAAATGCGAAGATTAGCTCAGGATAGGAAAAAGTTGAAGTACGTGTCCAACTAGTCTTAGGATTGACGACTTTATGATGATGATGTTGTTTAGATTACTCCAATTATACCTAATTAATAAAAAAATGTAAAAGAATTTAGGAGCCGTTCTTTTAATCAGACGTGTGTTTTTGCATAAAAATTATCTCATATCAAAATATTACATGAAATATGCAGTTTATCTTTCACTAATTTGTGGAGGCTAACAAAAACAAAGCTGTGTTTAAATTTCGAGTACTTCAATTTAATATTTTTTTAATTTTTAATGTCTCCTTTTATACAAGGTATGTTTCAACAGCTCCATGACAAATTCTGATGGATGAAACGTGGGATGATTTTAAAAAATTTTTGTTAAATATTTTTTTTTCTTAAATAAAGATAGGTCCGATTTATTTTTGTTTAAATTTTGAAGGTCAAAATATTAATTACAGTTTATTAACAATTAACAATAAAAACACATAGTAACATAGGATTTAGATCTCAAAAACGTGGCGGTCTTGCTGTTGGGCCTCTTTGACGTAATCAGTTTATTTGGGAAATGATCATTTAATCATGTCAACTAATTTTTTTAAGCCGCTTCTAACCCCTAAACAAAAACGAATCAGACCTATTTTCATTTAATGGAACACCCTATATAGTTTCTTCAGAAATTCTCTGACAATTAAGTTGGGTAAATCTAAATCTTAAGTCACCACTTACTACTTTCCTACCATTCGTATTTTTCGTTTTATAAAAATTCTTTCTTGAGAATTTTCCATTTTAGTATAATTTGTAACTCATTTTTATAATTTTTAAATAATATATGTGTTTTCGTGAAATTTTTGCGCAAAATATTTCATCTGACATCTAAAGGCATTTTGAATGCGATAGATTAATAGAACACCCCGTACATATACTATTTAAGGTCTGGTTTTTGCCGGAACTAATCAAACCAAGTATGGCACAACAATGGATGGTCAAGAACCAGTTTTGTACACTGACCTTTACAAGGTAAATCCTGTATGAAAGATACAGCAATACTTACAGAAAAGTATTCTGGTAAGAGTCGTTATCATAAGGTCGTCAGTCCTAAAAGTAATAAACCTAAAAAAATTTCAGCTCTTTCATTCGCACTTCAGATTGTACATAACTGGTGGACATGTCAAGTCCTAAAATATTTATTTACCAAGATATTTCAGGGATTAACAAGTACGCTCGGAACTGCTTCTGTGTCCTTAATATAACAAAAAATTATTACCAATCGTATATATTATACAAAAGGTCGCGTAACAGTGTCTCCATTATACTATTCCTAATGGATTGGTAGTAATTTTCTTGTTCAACAATAGAACGAAGTTACTATAAGATGTTACTAAATTTTTAATAATTGAATTACAATCCTGACAAAAGTCTAGTGATTTAAACTCTAGATATCTAAATCTTTAGATCATACATCAGCATTCGGGAGAACACCAGTCCGATTTGAAATCTGCCTGCCTTGGTCCAATTTCTTCTGTAGTTTCCTTTGATCACTTAAAGAAGTGTTAACGTTTTCCCCATGAAGTATTTTACTTCTGTCTGCCTTCATTATAAACATATCATCTTTCGTTCTTCAACCACTGCCTACCCATTTCCACCATTCTGGTATGAACTGGTATGCAAGACTAGAAGTGGCTGATTTTAGATATCTAGGAAGTCAGATAAGTCAGGACGGAAGGAGTAGTAGAGATACAGAGCAGAAGATAGCGCAGGGTCGACTCGCTTTCAACAAAAAGAAGTCACTTCTATGCTTGTGAATCATTAATTTAGAAATTTGAAAAAGATTGTTAAATGTGTATATTTGGAGCATGGCGCCGTGCGGTCAGTCTTAAGATTGGTTAGACATGCACCTTCACTTCTTCCTATTCTGAGCTAATTTTCGCATTTCCCCAAAACTGCAACATCTCACATTTGCGAACAGCAAACTAATCTAGGTCTACCTCTACTCCTTCTGACTAGACCTTCATGTCTGAGAAGGTGTCCTACCAACCTATCTCACCTATTTCTTATTGACTTCCATAGAGTTCTCTGTTCAATCTAAACTTTCTAATGCCTCTTCATTTCTAACCTTCTCTATCCACGGTATCCTCATCATTCGCCTGTAACACCACATTTCCAATGTTTTCAACCTTTTCTGACGTCGGCAGACCTTCTACAACCATTGCAAAATTCAAATTAAATGTATTGCAAGTAATCTGGTAGTTACGTGTTGTTCAATTCAATAACAATATTACACTTATATAAATATAATATAATTAATTGCAGACATGTGTTTTTATTTTTATTAACAATAAAAATCATTATCAAAACGTCGATGGGTGTTGCATACTGAACTTATTGCAGTTAGTTATCATTCGTCGAACGTTGCATCATTCAAATCCTCGTCAAGGTATAGATATGTGTGTTAGTAAATAAGTAAATATACTGATAACATGTTGGAATAATCCATGACTTTCATTAAAAAAATAACAATCCCTGTACATATTTTTTAAAAATCGGTTTTTATCGTGTCCTGAAATGTGATACTAATCCCTCTTATTGAAAATGTAATTACTCTATATATTTTGTTATGATGATTGCAATGTCAAACTTTTACGATTGTTATTTATTGANCATGAGTCGTGTTTTTTCGTGCGTGCAGCCGGCTCCATCGAATTATAAGACGTTGTCACGTCAAAAAAAATACAACGTGTAATTATACAATACAACACGCTACTCAAGTGAAACTTCTTCAAACACACAAACATACCGGGATAGGGGTTAAGGAATTGGTTTAATGGTATTATTTGTAGACTATGCTTCACACGGGTGCATTGCTGATAGTAAATATACTATAGAATGTCTTTATATACAACAATCACAGCTTTTTTGTCATTAGACATTACAAACTAGCCGGTACAGCCGCAACCGCTATGTTCTTCCATTTTAAGTCTGTAATATCTTCGAAAATATTCATTTAAATTACATACTGATCTATATTAAATGCACAATGTACTTAAAAGTACTTAATAGGATAAGGATTAATGCTGTATTGCTTAAAATCGCTTCGTAAGCCATTATTTCTCGTAAAAAGTAAAGGATAAAAAATTGTTATTGTCGGTTATCCCTAAGAGATAGACATATACCATCGTGGTTTTTGTAGACGTTTTTAAGGTGTACAATACTGTAGTACATTATTTTGATCTATCTCGTAGGGTTCAGCCAGCGTTTGCAATGTAAGCGCAAAAAATGTGTTTATTTACATCACACTACAAACGTCTAGAATTATCAGTGTTTCCCTACTATATTATGCGTGTATTATACATATAAACCTTCCTCTTGAATTACTCTATCTATTAAAAAAAACCGCATTAAAATCAGTTGCGTAGTTTTAAAGATCTAAGCATACATAGGGAAATGCGTTGCATGATTTCGTTACACAGCAACTCACATGAAACGAACTTACTCTACCGTGCGTAAAGAAGTTTCACTTCAAAAATTTTTTTCATCTCGATAAAGAAGGACTATCACTGTCAAAGTGTAAGTTTAACCTAGAAAATTAGAAAGTTCACTTTTATCCTGATGATCCTGATCAGGACTATTTATCAAATTATTGTATTTTCGATGATGTTTGACACATATGTAGGACATCAACGCGGGTAAAAGTTTGTAAACAATAAATTGTTATGGAAAATGGAAAATGAAAAAAAAAGCGTCTTGATACAGAGAATATTTAATTTAAAAATTTTAAAAGGGTACTGATATGATTATAAATATTTACAAATGTGAAATGAATTAGATCTATGATCTAGTAAAAAGTCAACACTATATATAATAAAAACTAGAATAAAGTAACCGTTTGAATTTTCGAAATAAAAACAAATTTTGGCAATGGATAACTTGAACTAAGGTTTATTTCGAAAACCCATGTCAACATAAACAACATGAGGAAGAAAATTTGCGTATTTATATCAACGAAAAACGAAAAATAAAAAGTACAGTTTATTTTATGTTCGTGCTTCTATGTTACATATTTTTCTAGGCCTCTTAGAAAACATAAGAGTTTACGTATTTTACTTTTTTACAGTGCCTATACATTGAGTAATACGTAATGGAAGAATTATTTTAATTTCTAGTTTCAGTTATTCTTCTTCTTCTTCATCGTAATCATCGTAATAGCCAAAAATATACAAAATAAAATTTCAAATATTCCTTACTTGGATATTGCACATTCTCTAGGCAAATAAACTTCTTTTTCGATCCCCTATATTCGATTCTCCACTGCGATTTTTTGGAAGATTATAATTACACTTATCATAATTTACAACCTACCGATATGCATGATTTTTTTTCTTAAATCTTATCTACAAGTCAGAGGTAACGAAGGCAAGAACAATGTTTAACCGAAAAATGAACTGAGATCGGCAAAGGAAATAAAAAATCAACTGGATTTCTTCGTCGCTACCGGCCACATTACCATTAATAAAATAAAAAACCTTGTTGGAAACATGCCCATAGCGAGATACAAGACTAGAAGAAAGTGTGTGTATACTGGAATATAGTTGTCGTAGTAATTTTTAGGGGCGCTTGTTTTTTTTTTTTAATCCTAAATACTTATTGGTAAATACATACTTTTTTTTTATGTACAAAGAAAGAAATAATACTAAAGTACGAAAAAGACTATACCTAGACATTTTTTAAATATCAAAAAAGACAAGTATTACTCATAATAATTATCGGTTTTATTACAAATTACCTATTTAAAGAGTATTGCATTATAAAACCTTATTTATGAAGTAAACCAGGGGTTCCACGAAAAAAAATGAATATTAGAAAGGGTCCCACCAAAGAAAAAGTTTAATAAATGGTGGTGTGGAAAAATGGGTGTATGAATCCAAATGTTATTTTATTTTATTTTTTTTTTAGTATTCATGTATTTCCGATGCAAATTACTTAACACTTAACAGAAAATCGTTATGTTAATAACTCAAACGTTACATATTTTGAATAACAATCCGAGCAAAGTCTACTGGCAATCACTTTGGTGATCTCGGAGGTCACAAATATTAAAATCCAATGCTTACCATCCAAGAGTCATGTTACTTGAATTTTTATCAGGATGCAAGCTTCTTACAAACGTACGTAACTAATTTGGTTGTCTAATAAATTGATCATTGTTATTATTGTGTAAAAAAATTAAAATTTTAATGAGCAGTTGGTATCTATAATGCTTTTCAAAATTTATTTTTAAAAAAACTCCAACCAGTTGGAATAATTGCGTCATCAACGCATAGGGTAAACGCTTCGACCTAGNCAAGACTAGAAGAAAGTGTGTGTATACTGGAATATAGTTGTCGTAGTAATTTTTAGGGGCGCTTGTTTTTTTTTTTTAATCCTAAATACTTATTGGTAAATACATACTTTTTTTATGTACAAAGAAAGAAATAATACTAAAGTACGAAAAAGACTATACCTAGACATTTTTTAAATATCAAAAAAGTGGGTCCGATAAAAACAGTTTACGGCTAACATAAATTTGGCCTTTCGTTTTCATTTCATTTTTTCTTTTTTTGGAAAGCACACATTTTTAACAAAACGAAAAATCAATAAGCAATATCACATGTTTAAAACATTTGCTTTGCAATAGCCACATCTGTTCGATTAAGTTTACTAACATAGTATTTTAAAAATGGTAACAGTCTTATATATAACTACGAATATGTAGAAAAACAAAATAAGCCCGCGGCTTAGAAATTCTTAAATTTAACAAAAAATTGCTACCTCTCCACAAAAATCGACCGACACTTTTATTTCATTAACACAACATAAATAATAATTATCGTTAGTTATACGTATCACTGTTAGAAAACAATTTGGTTTACTATTCAATTGTTACTTTTCATAAATAAAAATAAAAAAGCTTTCTTGCAACATTGAAAAATATAAAGTACGTAATTTTTGTGGACGTAGCACTCTTTATCACTTAAATCACAATAAATAACTGGATAATTTTATCTGCGAGTGATTGCACTTTTTTTTATCAAACAAACACTTCCGATCGAAGTTTATTCATTTATTAGTACTTAATGATCACTTTAGTTAAAAACAAACTTACAACAATTTTAATTTACAATTAATAGTCCCACCTTTCCTCCTCGGTTTCCTGTTTGATTTCGGTCGGACATTCACTGGGAGTCTGCTTCACGTTTTGTGCTTCATCCACCCTAACTTCGTTCTCCGTTTGTTCCGAGTTTTCGTTTCCATTACATACCGACGAAGAATCACTTTGATCATCGTCGTACCTGTCCATAACAGGGGTAGGCTCCACCCTTACAGTCTCTTCTGAATTCCGTCGTCCATAATCTTCAGTTTGCATAACACAAACACCGTTTATAATCACTTCGTTCCCAGTGGGTTGTTTCTCCTTCTCGTCCTGCCATTCTGGATTAACCCATTGAGGTGCGGCAGGCTTCCGTCTGGACGAACGACCTTGGTTACTACCTAAACTGGGCGATGGGGTTTCTTTGGGTTCGGATTTGATCCCTTCAGGTGTACTTTCCGAAAGGTTAGAATCTTCTGAACCCATGTTGCTATCGACATCGTCTTCAAAATCGTCGGGTTCCCTCTTGAGGGAAGTCATGGAGAGATCTAATCCACTCATCTGGTCTTTAACGGCATTGTTCAAAGCCGACAGATCTAGTTCGTTAGAGGGCAACAGTCCTCTGCTGAAGAAGGCCGCTAAGTTTGGATTTGTGGCCAAGTACGGTGGATATGGTAGTGGTACACTGCTAAGACCCATCCTCTCTTTCGATAACTCTAATAATCTTTGGTTTAGTAACAGTCTAAATTGGACTGGGTCGAAGGGTGCTTGACTTGAATTTTGATCACGAGGCGGTATATCCGAAGGAACTCCATGAGGCGCTTGCTGCTTCAACCTCATGCGATGATTGTGGAACCAGTTTGTTATGGTTCTGCACGATAGTCCCAGTTCGCTCGCTAGAAACTCGATGGTGGCAATGTTAGGATACGGATCCAAGGCGAAGGCCAGCTTGAGGGCCTCTTTTTGTTCTTCAGAGAAAAGAACGCGCTGCTTTTTAGCAGACTGAGGTCCGGGCCCAGGTGAATTGGAATGATAGAATTCAGATGTATCATTAGAAGAAGTGTCCGAGCTGTTGTCGTGAGTTCCTGGACCCGTTGACCTGCGTCTCTTATTGGCTTCACGCCGTTCGTTCTTTAAAGCTTGGAGGCGTTCGACGTTGTGGGCATCATTCAGCCACAACTGCATACGAATGAACGGCTCTCTGCCTTTAATACTAAGCATATGCCACGGTTTGGGCTTGGACAGCAGCTCACTTACAGACCCTTGAGACAATCCTAAAACTGCTTCACCAAATATCTGAAACAAGAGTAGAAGTTCTATTGTCGTATTTGCAATAAACAGGCAAAATGATGACACAATGAAGAAAGAAAAAGTTCTCACCTTTTGACCGATATTATTGGCTAAGAGGGCTTCTTTGATTTTGGTGGTAATGACCTGCGTGTCCAGGTCTTGAGTGAGTGCTGCCATTTCGTATACGCTAGGTGACATGTGGGGATGAAGACCTCTGATGCTACTGACTTGTTGATTGGTGAGCGAGGAATGTGATATGCTTAGAGGGCTGGGGTTTGTTTTCTTTATGTGCTCGGTGCTTTGCAACGTCATATGATGTTGTGGTGGAATTCCTGGTGGTGTTAGAAGCATTGTGGGGGCATGGGAATGAGGGATGGAATGATTTTGATTTGCTACCATTTGAAGAGAAGGCGGAAGAAGGCTTTGACTTTCGTGCATTTTATTTAAAAGACCGGCTGCGTCACTGAGCATCTTTGGGGTGGGTGGTAAGGGTTTGCTGATCGTAGGATTTGCTGAAATAAAAAAATTAAATTTTTAATTTTGAAACTCGTTCGCACAACTTCGCATACTTACCCCCACCGTATCCTCCTGTTCTCATCAATTTCTCTGGAGCAATTTTGTACTGACTGGCCACAAGTTTATGAACTGCGTTGTCATCTTCCAAAAACATTTTCATACGTATGAATGGTTCTCTCCCTTTCTGGGTTAACATATGCCAAGGTTTCGGCCGTGCTAGGAGATCACTGACGGAGCCTTGAGATAATCCTAATACAGACTCTCCAAAAAGCCTTTGGCTAATGGAGTATTGGCTAAGTTGCTCTTTCACTTTCTTCACAATTTCTTCAGTGTTCAGATTGTTGTATAGATCGAATTGTTGTTGTGTTATTGGCGGAAGAACAGCTTTCAATGGCCGCTGGCTAGTGGAATGGTGCTGTTGAACAGGTGGCTGTGAGATAAGGGAATTTGTGATGGACGCCATTCTTTGTAGTGGACTTGCCGCTGCCGATGTCGAGAAGTCTTCTGTTGGCGTCATAGCTGGTGGAAGAATGGAGTTGCTTAATGGGCTGGAAGCTGTCGAACTGGCAGTCTGAGATGGTGTTCCTGGTTCCATTTTCGGCCTCACCAAACTAAACGCACTATTATGAGACAAACTATCTTGATCTTTCGCACTCTTCTCGTCGATACCGTTCACCATTTTTGGTTTGTCCTTTGGAAGAGAGAGATCTTGAACTCCACCGTTTAAGGATTGCTGTTGACTTGGTGGTTGGTGATGAAGATGTTGTGGCTGCGGATGATGTTGTTGTTGTTGTTGCTGTTGCTGCTGTTGTTGCTGGTGCTGATGTTGGGCAAGTGCTTGTTGCTGAAGAGCAAGTAATCCTAAATTGGGCATTTGGGCGGGGTTCTGGCAAGGGTTCAATTTTGCTAATTCACGATGATAAGCGTCCAAGGCCATTCGAATTTCGTCTTGGGTACGGTCCATGGGACCGCCGCTGAACATGTGAGGGAAAAACATACTATATATTAGTATAGAAGCTGTTCTTTGGAAAATAGGTAAAAATTGTAAATAATATCGGGATGGAATGTAGATGTTTACCTAGGAAATGGATCCCTTCGCAGGTCTTCGATCCTTCGTCCCATGAGCTTTGCAAGTTCTTCTTGATAGATCCTAACGACCTTTTCTTGAGGTATGTCGTCGTTTTCGTACTTCTTCAATTTTCTATTCTGCGATGAATCTTTGGAAAACGGGCTTGAACACTGTGCGTGGGGCGATTTTGAATCTTCGTTGCTATGAGAGTCTTCGGGTTTCATCTGGAGATGAGACGCCTCGTTCAGGATATGTGCTATTCTCTCTTCGGAGAAATCACCTTCTGGACGACCGAATGTTGGAATCCCCGTATCTTTGCCTGAGGAAAAATTGTCTGTAATCATCATAGAAATAAGACCGCGTTATTGGAAATTCTATCATTGGGCATCTAAATTAAAGTATGGAAAATTACATGCGAGATATACAATAAACATAATTTATATACGGTAACATTGGAAATTTCAACTTTTTGACTGTTGGACGCGCACCTCCACCCCTTCATTCCCACCAGCCAGTAATGCTGGTGGGCGGGCAGTCCCTCCGTACTATGCCGGAAGGTAGGGTGAGAAAGTTGAGACTGACAAAATGAAGACAGAAGAGAATGAAAGATTATCTGTGGAATATTACTGCCTCAGCATTTACCTAAGTGATCCAAGGAAACAACAGAAAAACTTGGACCAAGGCAGACTGACCCGGAATCGAACCGGCGTCCTCCCGAATGCTAAGCAATGGTCTAAACCTCTAGGCCATGCCGCTCAGTATTAAAACTAGAGCATCCCACATCCTTAACTATTTGCGAATAGTAATATAATCTTCGTCTACTTCTACCCCTCCTAACTCCCGTTTCTGCCTCTAATATATTTCTGACTAGATCTTCATGCCTGCGAAGGCGTCCTACCAACCTATCTCGCCTATTTCTTATTGACTTCCATATAGTCCTTTGCTCTCCTATTCTTTCTAATACCTCTTAATTTCTAACCTTCTCTATCCATGGTATCCTCATCATTCGCCATTCGCGAGCATAGAAGTGACTTCTTTTTATTGAAGGCGACTCGACCCTGCGCTATCCTCGGCTTTATATCCCTACTACTCCTTCCGTCCTGACTTATCTGACTTCCTAGATACCNCAAGACTGAATTTGGGCAACACTAATACTTCAGCATTTTAAAAAATTCACCCTAAGAAGGGATTACAACATTTGTATAAGTCATATGTTATTTGTGGTCGGATGTATTTAAAACTTGATTTTAATGCTCATTGACACAATTAAATAACCACGTATTTTAGGGTTGCTACGTTTGTATTTGAAATTTATGATGGCAACGGGAAGTTATTACTTCCCAATGTTGAGGGAGAGGTTAGTACCGAAAGTTTCATTTACCTACTGTTAAGTTTAAATTATGTTGGTAACTTAATTCATACCATTAACTAGACATAAGTTAATAACAATTTAAAAGAATAAATTAATTTTGTTAATACTAGTTAAAATAGAGAAGGGGTGCTTATATGATTTATACTCAACCACTTGTGGGATTGACATTGTTGAAATACCTATAAGGTACCCTCCACCAAAATTTTACTCTTTAATAGATAATTATTAATTTCTTCTTTTCAGTTTTAAAAGACGTATTGGGGTAGGCTTCTATGGTCATTTTTTGCACGATATTAGTAAATACGTTCTTGAGGTGTTTTTAGATACTGAAAGGAAATATGAAAGATGGGAAAATGAGGGGAAAATTAAAAACCCCTGATAAGCCAATTGAAGATAATAACAATATTTTAAGAAATAATTAAGAACTGTAATTGCTTAGTCTGGATTCTGACCTTTTTAGAATTGTTTGAAATATTGTTGTTTTAGATAATATTTTAAAGAAATCGTTAAATAATTTTCTAATTATTACTGTAACAAAAAGAAGAAGACTTTATGGAGAATTAAAAATGTTTCACCAGCAGATTAGTCTAACCACAGTTATTATTGTCACTATCAATTTTTTAGTAATTGCCTTTTATTAGCCCTACTTTCTGGATCGATGAATACGAAATCTAAATCATTAAAACCCGGATACTTTACGCACTTCGATCGACACACGTACATATATATATATGTATTACTACATACATAACTACAAACATATTCGCATATTACACAAGCTGCTTGGCCCTGTATGTCAAGTTAAGTACCAACTTGTGTTTTCGATGCCTCTAACATTGATAAGGCGCCTGTCTGGTTTTTAGGCTGGACGGTTTGTTATCAAAGTCCAACATCCGGTCGGCTGAATCAATCTCTCTCTGTACTTTGGCCCGTCGTAGTGGAATTTACTAGGATGGAAATCCTTGTTTACGGACACAAACTGTTTACTAATTATTTATTTACGATTTTATGAATGAGCAACTTGCTGTTCTATTTAAATTATCTTTATGGCGAATTTATATATACTTATACATATACGATAAATATTATGTAAAATAACATGATCAGGCAGTTCGCATGAATTTTCCCAATTCCTTCCACCAGATGCTTTGCTTTCAACCACATTGTACAAAAAACAAAAAACAGAAAACGTGCTAGGATTAGAACATTCTCGCCCTGAGCGTTTAGAGTGGTTGAAGCATTGTACTTTTTCGATTAAATTTTATTGGAAGATAGTTGGTGTTTCCAATTGTTCTTCAATTTCGATTTCATATTTTTGATGTTTAAATATGGCTCAATCCAAATAAGTTGTCTTGCTGTTAGTTTTCCAAATAGGTACAGTTTGTCAAAGAAATGTTTCGTCACTTTACATACAATAAACATAACGATCAATCAAACTATGAATTAGTATGGATTCGCAAATTTCAATAATTTGTTAATTTTATTACTATAGACCCACTTTTCTTGATAATTTTCAAGGAAAAGAAAGATGATACCCATTCAAACCGTTAACAGCATAATTTCAAGAATTGAGGCATTCCTTTTAAAGTTAGTTTTAACCATCTATATTTTCAGTAGAAATTTCTGAAGTCATGAAAAATGAGAAAGCATTTCCTCGATCTTATTTTTATCAGTTTTAAAATTTTAAATGCCGTATATGTTCAATAAGGTGTTAATTTTATTACTATAGATCCACTTTTCTTGACAATTTTTAAGGACAAGAAAGATGATAACTTCATTCAAACTATTAACAACATAATTTCAATAATTGAAGCATTCTTTTTAAAGTTTTGTTTAATCATCTACATTCTACAACATTCTGAGTAAAAATTTCTGAACTCATGAAAATTGAGAAAGCATTTCCTCGATCTTATTTTTATCAGTTTTAAACTTTTAAATGTCAATACATGTTATGTCAAAAATTTAAACTTCAAAAGCCTTCAAAAAGTTGTTACTTTTATCGATTCTAAAAATGTATTAGAATGAATATTTTCTAATGATGTTTAAATAATTTAAAATACCTTTTAGGTCAAATAGAGCAATCTAGCGAGGAAAATCGATATTAACGTTCCGGGAAATGCTAGAAAGCTGTACATGTAAAGATAACTTTTTAACATTTATAATTCCTTTAAACAAAAAGTAGAACTCTAATAATATTTACAAATAAAGACTGTATGACAATTGTTTTTGTTATATATTTGGTTGAAAAGGTTATGAAATGTCGATTATGTAAAATGTTCCAAAAATCGAATATTAGGTATTAAGTAGGTATATGGCACTGTACAATTCAAATATATCGTCAATAGTTTAACAATCAATAAATAAATATTATTTACCCAAATGTTTCACAAGAACCAAAAATGTTAAGGTTTGCCAATTTTCATGCATTAATTTTCGTGGTAAGCCTTTGCTATAATTAATTAGATTAGTTATCGCAGATTTTGGGTTTACCTAATTTTAGATTTTTGCTATAAGCAGCACTGGTGAAGGGAAGATATTGCTTCACAGTGTTGAGGGAGAGGTTAGTGCAGAAAATTTCACTTACTGGAGTTTAACTTATATTGGAAACTTAATTCTTGCCGTTAATTCGACGTAAGTTAATAATAATGTAAAGGAATCAATAAATTAACTAATTTTGTTCTTACCTGTCCAAATAGAGAAGGGGATGTTGATATATATGTATCTGAATCACTTAGTAAACCAGGGTATGAACCCAGTTTATATGATTTGCACTCAGCCACTTGTGGGATTGACATTATTGAAATACCTAAAAGGTACCCTCCACCAAAATTTCACCCTTAAATAGATAATTATTTATTAATATCTTCTTTTCAGTTTTAAGAGGCCCATTGGGGTAGGTCTTTATGGTCATTTTTTGCACAATATTAGTAAATATGTTCTTGAGGTGTATTTAGATACTGAAAGGAGATATGAAAGGTGGGACCATGAGGGTCATCACCAGGGGGTTACATTCTCTGAAGCTCCAAAATTGAAAACCCCTGATAAGCCAGTTGCAGATAATAACAGTAACTTAAGAAGTAAATTAAGAACTGTCATTGCTAGGTCTGGATTCTGGGCTTTTTTAGAACTGTTTGAAATACTGTTGTTTTAGATAATGTTTTAAAGAAATCGTTAGATAATTTTTTTAATGATCACTGTGATAAAAACCTTAGGAAATGACTAAATAAATTAATACATTACAGATTGTACCTTTTTCTTACTTACCCAATATCAAAAATAGTAATCAAAGTTAAAATTTTACTGATGGGAACAAAACTGAACTATTTGTGATAACTGATAACTGCATACATATATCTAAAACGAATTTTAAATAATCAACACTGCCGTATGAATAATTTAAAATTAACTACGAAGTCGAGAGCACGTATGCAACCCATTTAACAGAATGTCTGACAGGACTAGACTCAGGTTTGAAATAATAGAACAAAGATTCCCAACCTTTTCTGAACTATCGCCTCCCTTTAGAAGAGCAAACAATTCCAACTCCCCCTAGTCCATAGTACCCAATTTAATATGAGGTACTAAGATAGTGTTGCATATTATCTTATATTTATTTATGAACACAGAAAGTGGATGAGGTGGCAGAAGTTGATATTTAAGAAAAACATGAATAAGACACATATTAAGTACGTTATAGGCCTAGAGGGGTCCTTTTTAAATACTCCAACTAACCCCATTTACCTCTACGCTCGCTACTGCCTCCTGGAAAGCTCTAGCATTCACTGAAGGGCGGTATTTTTTTATTTCTAATTATTAAATCGCACTTAAAAATGTTTTTAAAGGAATTAGTTAATATTTTTGATCTTATTTTGTAATGTTTCTTCTTTTCATCAATTTCATTTTATTTATAAATATACGTAGAAGAATCTTGTGAGAATTTTCTTTTTTCAAAATCTTTTATTTTAATTTGGACAAATTTTTACTTTAAAGAAAAAAAAATACAACGTGTAATTATACAATACAACACGCTACTCAAGTGAAACTTCTTCAAACACACAAACATACCGGGATAGGGGTTAAGGAATTGGTTTAATGGTATTATTTGTACACTATGCTCCGTACGGGTGCAATGCTGATAGTAAATATCCTATAGAATGTCTTTATATACAACAATCACAGCTTTTTTGTCATTAGACAATACAAAC